TGCGTCAGTCAGTACTTTTATGGGCGACCCATGTCCACATTTTCTCGGCGGAATGAAAGTGCGCGGTGCCTCTCGAGCGATCCCCGCGCTCTCGTCGGTATGGAGAAGGCGATGATTCATTGTTTATTTCGAGAGGGCAAGCCGCGCCGTGTTGTTCTCGGCGAGGCGGTGTAGCACAGATCCAAGGCGAGATAGACGGAGCTCGGAGGCAAGGAGGAGGCCGTGGATTGGCAGATGGAGAGGCGAGGGCGAGGGACGCGGGGGCAGGAAAGCGGTTTCGTCCGCGGAGAGGCAGGGACCCCCGCAGGAGCAGGAGGCAGACTCACTCCAGCAGGAGAGAGCGAGGGCCCTCCGTCGCAGCAGCCTCGGCGCTGGACACTGTGCGGGAAGCTCGTGCGCCAGCTGAGTGACGTCACAGTGCCGTGGCTTGGGCGGGGTTACTGGGGACGCGCCGTATATAGGCCACCTGGTTAATAAGAACAAGCCAGCCGTTTCTCGCCGTTCTAGGGCGTTTTAGTGGCTCTTCACGCATATTATTCACTTTACAGTTACAAAGCGTTATGGATTATCTGCCTGATATAGATATGGCTGTGGCGGAGCTTGATTTTCCGGACGATTTTGGTCGAGTTGCCAAGCGCAGCAGGTCGTGTTGAGGCCGCGTTTTGTTTTTCTTTTTCCCCGCTCTCCCTATTAATGAAGCATGGGGGGGGCGAAGGCGGAGGCCATCAGCTCGGAGGCTGGTTTCGTGGGCGTGCGGCAGGAGATGATGCCAAGCGGTGTGTGGCAGCCATGACATATATTTTCGTAATGGCTCGTAGGCCTAGTGCCACTGCGGAGGGTGTACGGCGTCGTTCACACCCCCCCCTCTCTCTCTCCCTCCCCGCTCCTCCCTCTCTCCCTCCCTCTCCCCCCCTCTTTCTCTCTGCGCTTCCCTTCACCCCCCCCCTCCCCGTCCCGCCCCCGGGGATCCTCGCTGGAGTCCGAGCAGCTGGCACTCTGGAACCACTGAGAAAGAGAGTGCGTGAGGGCGTGAGTGAGTCGGTGCTGTGGGGGAACGGAGAGATAGGGAGAGCAAGAAAGGGGGCTTGTGGTAAGGGAAAAAAATGAATGTTGTAATCTCCATCTGGTGCAGCTTGAAAGGGAAGGCTAGAGGGAGCGAATGAAGGAGCGGGGTAGGGAAGAGAAGAGGGAGGAAGGGAGCGACAGGAGGAGGAGGCTCTAGAATTTGACTATTGCCCGTATTAAAGAGGATGGACGGGAGGGGGCGAAGGGAAGGCCGTGGGAGAGGACAGCAGAGGCGAGGAAGGAAGAGAGAAAGAAAGCTAAATAAAGAATGTGTGGATATATACTGAGGGAGGGAGAGAGAGAGAGAGAGAGAGAGAGAGAGAGAGAGAGAGAGAGAGAGAGAGAGAGAGAGAGAGAGAGAGAGAGAGAGAGGAGGGGGCAAGAGAGAGAGAGAGAGGAGGGGGCAAGAGAGAGAGAGAGAGAGAGAGAGAGAGAGAGAGAGAGAGAGAGAGAGAGAGAGAGAGAGAGAGAGAGAGAGAGATAGAGATAGAGGAGGGGGCAAGAGCGAGCGAGGGAGGGAGAGGGAGAGGGAGAGGAAGGGTGAGGGCGAGGGGAGAGGTGGGGTGCGAGTGTTATGTAGGACACGATGGACAAGGCGAGCCCGGAGAAAAGGTACTCTGTGAGGCAGGAGGCTGGACGGAACTGGCTCTTTCTGCTCTTGGCGTCGAGGGATTAGTCGCGGATTCCTTCAAGAGTTTAAGAGTTTTTTTTCTAAATCTTAATAAAACTTGGAGAAAAATGAGACCATCCAAAGATCTGGCGATATGATCCGCACTAAAGGTGTTGTTGACCTGAACTCTTTGAACCTTAGTTGGTATCACTGCGGCTTCCCTCTTTCGTCACAGAATCGTAGATCCCGTTCTGTTGTAGCCGCTTAATTGGCTACATTTCCTTCTCCGTCTCTCGATCGAGATTCTTCTATTTGTATATTTATATGTATATGTATATTTGTGTGTGTATATATGTATATATGTATATGCATATATATACACATATATAATATATGATATATAATAAATAATAAATAATATATAATATACAACATATAATATATAATATATACAGCAAAATGAATGCTTAGATGAAGCGGTTGTTTTCTTGCAGTTGTGTTTTTTGCGATTACTTTGTAGGTTGAGAATCTTTTGGGCTTGATTTCTGTGTTGTTGTTGGTCTGTAGTCCTTTCGTCTTTTCTATTTGCATTCTTCCTTCGGAGACGCCTTCCTACCCCTCCATCGGAGACAACCCCCCCCCCCCCTCTGGAAGGCCCCCGTCGCTACGTAGGATGGAGGGTAGAGAGGGGGACGGGGGGGGGGGTCGAGGGAGGCGTTTCCCCGCTGCTGGAGATAATGGGAAACGGATAGGGAAGGGGGGAGGGGGGGAGAGGGGAGAGGAAGGGGGGGTATAGGAGAGGAGAGCAGAGTAACGGAGAGGAGAGAAAGAGCAGAGGAGGGAAAGAGGAGAGGAGAGAAGAAAATAGAAATAGAAAAAAGGAAAAGGAAGGGAAGAGAGGAGAGAATAAGAGAAGAGAGGAGGAAAGAGAAGAAAGTAGAGTAGAGGAGAGCGATGAGAATAGAGGAGAGCAGAGTAATAATGAGGAGAAAAGAGGAGAGGAAAAGAGGGATTGTGGAGATGAGGAAAGTAGAGGAGAAAAGTAAAAAAAAAAAAAACGGCTTGCTGGATACTTCTGTTAATGAATGTTTATTTTTTCGGAATGTTTTTTTTTTTTTTTTGAATTGAGGGTATGCTATTGAACGGATTTCGGATCATGACCAGCCTCTGGATGAGATAATGAGCGAGTCTGCAAGGCCCGGGGCAGCTGTTGCAAGATTAGTTGCACGATTATGTTGATGCAGAGTTTAATGTTTGCAATCCTCCACTGCCGAGTTCGATCCGTCCGAAAGCCATTGCAACATTCAACATTGCAACGCTCGGGGGGAAAACAAGTTATTTTGGAGGCTGACAACATGAACGCTGACCTGCCGCCCGCCGTGTCGAGGAGGGGGGTGGGCGTGGGGGGGGGTTGGCCGGGGTCAGTTGGTGTTACAAGGAAAAGGGTTAATAGCAGCTTCTGTCACTTGCTCTTGGTATTTGCCAGTTAGATTGACGGCAAAGTGTGCCTTTCGTTGCATGTTTTGATTTTCTATTGTTTAAACTGGACTGTTTTTTTTTATCATTTAACTAGCAGAAATCAAGAAATATCCGTTTGTCTATCTGTCCATTTATTTTAGTTCAGGTACAAAACATTTTGATTAGATTACAGTTGCATTTACTCTAAGCCTGAGTTTACATGACTCCGCTTTCTCTAATTCCCCCCCCCCTCTCTCTCTCTCTCTCTCCTCTCTCTCTCTCTCTCTCTCTCTCTCTCTCTCTCTCTCTCTCTCTCCTCTCTCTCTCTCACTCTCACTCTCACTCTCACTCTCACTCTCACTCTCACTCTCACTCTCTCTCTCACTTCTCAATTTCTTCTCTCTCTCTCTCACTCTCCTCTCTCTCTCTCTCTCTCTCTCTCTCTCTCTCTCTCTCTCTCTCTCTCTCTCTTTCTCTCTCTCTCTCTTTCTCTCTCTCTCTTTCTCTCTCTCTCTCTCTCTCTCTCTCTCTCTCTCTCTCTCTCTCTCTCTCTCTCTCTCTCTCTCTCTCTCTCTCTCTCTCTCTCTCTCTCTTTCTCTCTTTCTCTCTTTCTCTCTTTCTCTCTTTCTCTCTTTCATGCTACCGTAGCGGAGAGGAATGGGAGAGAGACATTGACCATCGGCGAAACGGGGGTCGCGGTCCGTAGAGTTTTCGGCCTCTCGCGGTCGAAAAATCCGTGGTGGTGTTTGTGTTGTGTTCGATCTGCATGAGCGGCGGAGGCATATTTGTCGGTGCGGACCCGCCGTACCCCGCTTTCTCTTCCACGCGTGTAAACAACAGCTAGTCTACATCGAAGGTAAAAGAAAAAAAAGGCAGAAAAAGCTGCTGTCATAAAAGCCATTCTTGTCTTCATGAGGTGGCCCGCAGACCGGTTCCTGGCGACACTGTCCTCACATGAACCAGGTTAAAGGAAGGGGGGGAAGGGAGGAGGGTGGGGAAAGGGAAAGGGAGAGGAGGGGGAAAGGGGAGGTAAAAGGGGAAGCGATGAGGGAGGGAAGGGGCGATGGACGGGGGGAAAGTAAGGAGAGGGAAGGAGCCGTCGGAGGGAGGGAGGGAGACAGGGAGGGAGGGAGACAGGAAGGGAGGGAGGGAGGGAGGGAGGGAGGGAGGGAGAGAGAGAGAGAGAGTGTTTGCCCAGCTATACTCGCGGATGGATAAGTCCCCGTGGCCTCGCCTGAAGTGAAAGGAATTTCTATCTCGAAATCACCATTTTGAACTTGTAGGTTTATTGCTCTTTGAAGATTCTTTTTTTTTTCTTTTAATGAGTACAAGGAGCTTCAGACTTTGATTGTTGTGAAGTTGGTTTACTACGGGCTTCTCTCTCTCTCTCTCTCTCTCTCTCTCTTTCTTTCTTTCTTTCTTTCTTTCTTTCTTTCTTTCTTTCTTTCTTTCTTTCTTTCTTTCTTCCTTCCTTCCTTTCTTTCTTTCTTTCTTTCTTTCTTTCTTTCTTTCTTTCTTTCTTTCTTTCTTTCTTTCTTTCTTTCTTTATTTATTTCTTTATTTCTTTCTTTCCCTCTCCCTCTTCCTCTTCCTCTTCTTCCTCCTCTTCCTCTTCCCTCCCTTTCCCTTTCCCGAGTGAGCCTATATGGGCGTGAGAGTAGAAGCGTGAGCGATTGGTAGACAGGGTGAGTCTCGCACTTGAGGCTTGAGAATAAGCGCCAAGGACTTTGATAATGAGCGTGAGTGTGAACGTGAGGCTCACTGGTTGAGAGAGAGTGAGTGAGTGAGTGAGTGAGTGAGTGAGTGAGTGAGGGGTGTGAGGACGAGCATGACGGCTTCGAACTAAGTGTGTCTTTCCCCCCCACAGAGCGGCGTGAAGCAGGACGTGAAGAAGCGCATCGAGGACATCCGGCTGCTGGAGTCGAGGAAGTCGGCGCGCCTGGCCGACCAGGACACCGACTTCGCCAAGCTGGCCGACATGTCCACCGACAGGAAGGACCGAAAGCCCTCGCAGACCATCGACGTGCCCGCGCCCTCGGGGTTCCAGGGGTAAGTCGCTCTCCTTTTTCTTTTTGCTCCATCTTCTTCATTTTCTTCATCTCCTCCTCCTCCTCCTCCTCGTCCTCGTCCTCCTCTTCCTCCTCCTCCTCGTCCTCGTCCTCGTCCTCCTTTCCACCTCCTCCTCGTCCTCCTTTCCAACTCCTCCTCGTCCTCCCTTCCACCTCCTCCTCGTCCTGCCTTCCACCTCCTCCACCTCCTCCCTCCTTCCTCTTCGTCCTCCCCCCTCCCCTTCTCCCAGCCTGCCCCCGCCCTCCCCCGCCCGCCCCGTGTCCTCGGCCTGCCTTTCCCTCCTCGTATTTTTCGGGCGAGCGTGCCATGGCTTCCGACCCTGCGGCTGACAGGTAGATGGCGCTGATCCCTAATTGCGGATGGATAATGAATCTCCTCGTTTTTACCGATTATTCCTTGATTACGAATTCTAATTGTCCCAAAATTAGGAAGGATTTAATTAAATCCCTAATGGTTTATGTCGAGTGAATCCGTAATTGCTAATGGAACAGTGCATTTCCTAATAAGTAATTAATCAAACGTGGCGTTCTGTACTAAGGCGTTTCCTGTAACTTTACACTTCGCGTGACTGATGGACAGACGAAGGACATTTACCCGCTTTCTTGCTGGAATTAGCTGGCACGCGATTAGTTTTTTTTTCAGGGCGAGGAGCCATCGATTAGATTATACAAGATAAGGCTCGGTCGCGGCCAGGGCGGGCAACGAGGGGATTTCGCCGCGCCAGGGGAAGAAATGGGGAAAAAAATAAACGAAGGAGAATGCGAAGCTGGGAACTTAAGAATGATTGAGGGGTAAATGGCGTTAACTCAAAAGACAATTGAGTTCGCGACAATGGAGACGGCGCTGCCTCCCCGCGCTGACCGCAGACGAGGCAAGGGGCGAAGAGTGGGGCGAATTCGCACTCGCTCGCCGCCACGAACGAGGGAGTCGGGGCTGCGCTCAGGGGGCCGCCGCAACAAGTTCTTACTTGTGATGGGTAGGGAGAGAGGGAGGAGATGGGAGAGGGAGGAGACGGGAGAGGGAGGAGGGAGGAAAGGGGAGAATGAGAAGGAGGAGAGTATTAAGAAGAGAGTGAAGGAGAGGTATAGGAGTAGGGACAGGAAGAGAGGGCTTAAATGTAGAATAGGTAGACAGATTGACGTAAATCCACGTTGAGAGAGGGGTGAGGGGGAAGGAGGAGGTCGACGCCCCCCTGGTGAGCTGAGAAGAGCGGCGTTGCGCTCGTCCAGACAGGAATGCAACTGAGATGGAGCGACGGCAGGGAGCAGGGAACAGGGAGAAGGGAGCTTGCTGGTTTTCGAAGTACCGGTTTGATGGCAGCGGAACGAACGTGTGTGCGATAACCACCTAGATTCAGCGCCCTGGTTGGCGATCGTGGCCAGCGCGACGACAGGTGGAAAAAGAAAGCCTTGTCGGAGCACCTCGCTCCCGGCAGAAGAACGAAGGCCTCGCGCCCCTTGCGCTGCTCTCGGCGTGCAGGACCTCCTCCGGCGGGAGAGGAGATACAGCGCAGCCAGCACAGGATGACGTGTTCGCCTCGGGGCTGCAGCGTCGGTGCCATCGTCTCGGGAAGACGACGGCCAGGAAACCCGGCGCTGGGGGCGCGCAGGCCGAGGCTCCAGAAACAAAGGCTTCGCGGCGCTATTGTCATGGATGTCGGCCGCAGGGTTGTCAAATTACGCCTTCTTTATCTCCTCCAGTCAGCGTGCACCGAGCGGAGGAGGTAATTGTGGCGTAATCGTGAAGAATGTGCGGCTGAGACCCTCAGTCCGCGACGGAAGACGCCGTAATGAGTGGCGGCGCGTCCAGGCCGCTGCGCCTTTGTTTATGGAGCGACGGCGGCGGGAACGTCGGCGAGGGGACGCCCGCGCGCCGGCCAGACTCTGCGTTCTGTCCGTAGAGACGGGGCTGAGTAAGGGGGCGGTGCCCTTTGTATATTGGCCATTAATGTTTCCGACTCGCGGTGCGGGAAGTATACTTGGTAATTAGTTCGAAGTCTATCAACTCCGCGATAGATGGGACTGTGGCGTCCGAGAATCTGATTGGCGGCCAGGAGGAGGACCGCCCACCAATCAGGACGCGGCATGGGATTTTTCGTCAGTCTAGAACCAAATGAACAACTGATTGTACCTCCTATCCTTTGATATCAAAATAATCGACAACATGGCAACCTCCACTGGCGTAATTATTGTTCGCAATTAGGGTGAGAGATTGCGCTAATTTCATTATTATGCGCCCTACGTATGGATGCAGTCGAGAGCTGCTGATAATGAACGACATGTTGCGCAGGTTGATAAGAAGGCGAGAAGCCGTGACGAAAGGGACGGAGGACCTGCACTCTACCCTTGGGGCCAGTAGGGGGGAGGGGGGTGTAAGACGGCGCTTCAGGCCCCGGGCTCTCTCTCTCTCTCTCTCCTCTCTCTCTCTCTCTCTCTCTCTCTCTCTCTCTCTCTCTCTCTCTCTCTCTCTCTCTCTCTCTCTCTCTCTCTCTCTCTCTCTCTACTCCCTTCCCTACCTTTCCTTCCCTCCCTCTCTGCCTCTCTCTCCTTCGCCCTCTCTTCCTCCCTCCTTCTCCCCAACAATCTCTCTATTATTTCTCTATGAAATCTACTACATGCTGGGCATCGGGTATCTTACAAGCAGCGTGTTTCAGGCAGGCAAGGGATCGGACGGCAGTGCTTGCAAGAAGTCACGTAAGGCAAGTTGGCAGCTGCTTGTGACGCCCGACGCAGCGCGGTCAGCAGGTGAAAGGGGTGCGGCAGAGCGAGGGAAATATCCACGTTTCTTTTCTCACTTTTTTTTTGCATTTTGGGAGTGGAAAGGCCCAATGAAAAGGGGGGGGGGTACGTCTGGATTTATCGATGGGCGTGATGGTTAGCGTGGAATGCTGAGGCGGGGGCAGCGGGCGAGAGAGAGAGAGAGACAGACAGACAGACAGACAGACAGACAGACAGACAGACAGACAGACAGACAGACAGACAGACAGACAGAGAGAAAGAGAGAGAGACAGTTAGAGACAGAGACAGAGACAGAGACAGACAGAAAGACTGAGACAGACACACACACACACACACACACACACACACACACACACACACACACACACACACAGAGAGAGAGAGAGAGAGAGAGAGAGAGAGGGAGGGAGGGAGGGAGAGAGAGAGAGAGAGAGAGAGAGAGAGAGAGAGAGAGAGAGAGAGAGAGAGAGAGAGAGAGAGAGAGAGAGGGAGAGAGAGAGAGAGAGAGAGAGAGAGAGAGAGAGAGGGGCTGAATCGCGCGCGGACAAGTTGGCTCAGGCTGCAACAGGTCAAGGGAGCGCGGTGGGGGGGGGGGGATAAGAGGGCGTGATCGTAAGGGAAGGAGTGTTTAAGGTGTTAGGTAGGAGGATGGGGGGTGGGGGTGGAGGGAAAGATAATGGGGGAGAGTGGTGGCAGGAAGACAGAGGGGGGGGGGGGGGTGAGAGGGAGTTGTTGAAGGAAGGGGGGAGGAAGGAGGGGAGGAGGCCGGTGGAAGGGAGAGGGGGGAGGGTAGGAAGTCGATTGAAGGGAGAGGGAGGAAGGGGAGGGGACCGGTTGAAGGGAGAGGGGGGGAGGGGAGGAGGCCGGTTGAAGGGAAAGGGGGGGAGGGGAGGAGACCGGTTGAAGGGAGAAGGGGTAGGGGAGGAGGCCGGTTGAAGGGAGGGGAGGAGGGTAGGAAGTCGATTGAAGGGAGAGGGAGGAAGGGGAGGGGACCGGTTGAAGGGAGAGGGGGGAGGGGAGGAGGCCGGTTGAAGGGAGAGGGGGGAGGGGAGGAGGCCGGTTGAAGGGAGGGGGGGGGCGAAGGAACCCCGCGCCGTCATTTTTCCTTCGCAATAAGGCCGCGTCAGTTATGAAGAACGGTTTTGTTCGCCGTCGTCTTTCCCTCGCGATCTGCCGCGTCACCGTCCTCGCGCCGCGAACGATCTGGTTCCGAGCCACCAATTCAGAACTTGGCCAGGTCTCTGTGGCGATTACGGTTCGTGTTATTGCTGTGTGGAATTTTTCTCTCTTTTTCTTTTGGGTCCGCGGTGGGAGGAAGCCTTTGATATTCACTTAGCGGTCACGAATTCGCGATCAGCTGAGGGCGAGATGGGCCGGTCCAAAGCAGCGCCCGGGGAAGGGGGGGGGAGGGGGGAGGGGAGGGGGGGGGTCGAGCGACGGGAGGAGGGGAGGGGGGTGAAGGAGGGATGGAAGAGGTAGGGAAGGAGGGAGGGAAGGAAGGAAGAGGGAGAGTGGATGAGAAAGTTAGAGAGTAAGTGAGTGAGTGAGTAAGCAATTGTGGACCAGTGAGGACACGAGTCTCTCGGTGTGTCCTCTGTCTCTTCTCTTCTCGGATGTCGTTCGTCTGAGGACAGAGCGAGCGGGAGAGAAGAGACAGACAGACATCCACACGCACGAGCGCACACACGCACTCACACACTCACACACACACACACACACACACACACACACACACACACACACACACACACACACCACACACACACACACCACACACACACACACACATAGAGAGAGAGAGAGAGAGAGAGAGGAGAGAGAGAGAGAGAGAGAGAGAGAGAGAGAGAGAGAGAGAGAGAGATTTGCGGGAGCAGAGTGCGTGAACCGTGCATGACGTCAGTCACGTAGTTAGCAGAACGGCGCCCGACACCTATGGCCGCAGCCGTCCGTTCAGCGCCGAACTGCCCATCCTCCGGTCGCTCTCTCTCGCGGGAATCGGCCTTCACCTCTTGGGCGGTCACACGAGGGCAGCCATTTGCGAACTGTAAGGAAAGCCATCATATTCATCGAGAGTTCATGGGCCTTCAGGGCGGCTTCAAAGAACGTCAGAGCTCCGGAGGACGAGTCTGGCGTTATGTAAACGGCGAGGCGGAGAGTGGGTGCGTTTGTGATCCAGCCTTTCAGGGGCAAGCGCGCCGTTGCGTCACCCCAGCGCGCGACAGCCGAGGTGTGTGTGACCCC